TTACGGTGATGCTGGTGTAAACTTACTGTGCTGCCGGTTGTACAAAAGTATAACATGTGCAATTATGAATAGTACATAATACTTGATAATGACAATAAATGACCATTACTGGTTTATGTATTTACTATACTGTATTTTTTATTATTGTTTTAGAGTGTACTCCTTCAGATAGGGACAAGCAGCAGAGAAATTCTAGGCAGAAAAAGGTGAGTCCCTGGCAAAGCCCCACACTCAAGCCAAAAAGCCTAAGACCGCAGCCCAAAGTGAAAACTTGCATCCCTGTTTTCCTGCTCAAATGTTGCCTTTTCCTGAACCACGCATGGCCCACCCCACCTCCCACCCCACACTCGACCAACAGAGAGAGGAGAAGCAGCTGGACATCAGACTGGGCCCCTTTGGATTGGTTGCTGTTATTCTCCTGCTTTTTCGGAAACGCCCATTTCTAAGTTTAGTTTGATTACATGGCATTTGGCACGAGTGACCCATTCTGGTTTGGTCTGGTCTGTTGGGGTCTAGCGCATGAGCTCAGTCCAAAACAATGACGTCCCATAAACTTTATTTCGCAAAGCATACAGGAGGCATGTGGAAGTGGAGTGCATGCACACTATTTTAAATTCCGTGAATCATATTATGCATATACTGTTCTGCAACTTTTTTTGGAACATTTGTTTTCTCATTTAATCTGTGGCAAAGACTTGGTGATTTACTCGTTGAATACACTGAACCAGAGGCGCTCTGGACAAGAGATTTCTGGCATAGCCAAAAGCTTATCAGGCAGGTTCTTGGCAGGAAACAGATGGCACACTGTCCTCAAACTGCAACGAGGGAGAAAACTGGAAGTCTTCATGATGACAAATGTGTCCCAGTTTCACTCCCGAGTACACAGACAGCCATGTATTCACTCCTTTCTAAGGAAACTGACCACCCAAAAAAGAAAAAGCAAATGTAAAGATAGGCCTTGTCACAATATCCCCACATGATACTCACAATACACCAAGCGCTGCCTGAACACACAGAGCTTCCAAATTAGTCTTTCAGAGCCTCATTTTAAAATAGGAACAGACCACGCGGGATCACTGAACATTTGAAGAAACCCAGACATGAAAGAACAAAACAAAGAAACTCACAGGGACAGAGAAAGCTCAGGAAGCAGAAGGAAATATACATATATAGATAGATATTCTCAACGTTATCAAAAAGAATTTCCTCCATGAAACAACTGATCTTAAAAAAAACAGGAGCATTCAGGTAACTAAAACAACTCTGGGAAATTAATGTTATGATAGCAAAAATAAAACATGCAATAGAAGGATTGGAAGATAAAGTTGGGGACATCTCTCAAAGAATAAGGTTAAAAAGCAAAGAGATGCAAAATAGGAAAAAAAGGATACAAAAATAAAGTCAGAAAAGAGATAAAAATTTCCTGGTAGGAGTTCCAGAGACAAGGAACAGAGAAAACAGAGAGAATATCAAAGGCATAATGTAAGAATATCTCTCCAAACTGACAGGTAAGAATTTTCAGAGCAAAAATTTCCTGTTGAGGGCACAGCACAATGAATAGGAAAAGGCAAATATCAAAGAATATCTTTATAACGTTTCAAAATAACAGGGATTAAAAAAGAAGACTCTAAATGTTTCTACAAGGAAAAAATAGGTCATATGTTTCCAGAAGGAGAATTCAAATACCTTGAAGACAATGGGGCAAAGCTTTCATGCTTTTGAGGGCAAATTATTTCCAGTCTAGAAATATAAACCTAGTCTGAAACTCAATTAGGAATGAAAAGAAGCTGAATGCACTCTTCCCCTGGAGTTCTCTAGGCTTTCACTGCAACCTCACCTGGAATTGCAAAACCCTGTGTGATTTAGGCTCTGCTTGATGTGCTGAGAAGGATGGCAGAAATCTTATCTCAGAAGGCCCTGTGAGCTATCTAGAGATCAACACCAACTTTGCAAGTCTGAAGTTCATAGATGTTGCCTTACATTTTTGAGATGAGACTGTTTATACACGCCCAGCTTTCTATTTCTGTATTCTCCTGATGCCTCAATAGTAACTCAACATTGCTGCTTAAATATAAACTCATTAGGACTAGACCAAGCCCCAGAGGAGACGGGAAGATGTGGCAAGGGGAGAGTGCTCCACAGGAACCCAGGACGGAGTCTCACCCACTCAAAAAACGCCTTTTGGGCCAGGTGTGGTGGCTCACGCCTGTAATCTCAGCACTTTGGGAGACCGAGGCAGGTGGATCGCTTGAGGTCAGGAGGTGGAGACCAGGCTGGCCAACGTGGTGAAACGCTGTCTCTACTAAAAATACAAAAATTAGCCAGGCATGATGGTGCATGCCTGTAATCCCAGCTACTTGGGAGGCTGAAGCACAAGAATCACTCAAACCTGGGAGGCAGAGGTTGCAGTGAGCCGAGATCGCGCCACTGCACTCCAGGCCGGGTGACAGAGCGAGATCCTGTCTCAAAAGGAAAGAAGGAAAGAAAGAGAGAGAGAGAGAGAGAGAGAAAGAGAAAGAAAGAAAACAGGAAAAAAAAAAAAAAAGTCTATTGACCGGCCAAGTTAATAACATATTCAAAAGACTTCTACTCAGGAGGCTGAGGCAGGAGAATTGTTTGAACCCAGGAGGCGCAGGTTGCGGTGAGCTGAGACCGCGCCACTGCACTCCAGCCTGGCGACAGAGCGGGACTCCTTCTCAAAAAAGAAATTTAAAAAGACTTCAGCTTGGTAAGGGCTGTGAAGTGAGCACAAGCTAGATTCTCTAAATTTGCTCTAAAATTCTGATTTAATAAGGTATATTTGTCTTATCTTTTCTAGTCTGAGAATCATTCTAAATGATAGGGAAAACATACAAACTTCAGTGGATTTTTTCAAAGGAGGGTTTCCTGATATCTTGGCCTATGCTATTTAAAATCCTTCCTCCTTGTATCTCTCTCTTTTCTCTCTCTCTTTTTTTTTTTTTTTTTTTTTTTTTGCGGGGAGTGGGCTTCTGTTTGTTTGCGACAGAGTCTCTCTCTGTCGCCCATGCTGGAATGCAGTGGCATGATCTTGGCTCACTGTAACCTCCACGGGGGCCACCGGCACGTGCCAACACGACGGCTAATTTTTGTATTCTTTTGTAGAGATGAGATGTTGCCATGTTGCCCAGGCTGGTCTCGAACTCCTGGGCTGAAGTGATACATCTGCTTCAGCCTCCCAAAGTGCTGGGATTACAGGCATGAGCCTCATGCCTGGCCTTGCTTCTCATCTCTCTAAAAATGTTTTTGTTTTTTTGTTCTGTTTTGTTTTCAGACTTACTGCAATTTAGCACATTCTGAATATTGGCCTTTCTAACAATATTTTTACATGCCTGGGCTATCCTTCTAAATCTATTTTTGATTAGGTTTCCTTTTTTAAAATTTGTTTTATATTCATGCTTTTAAAATGTGAGCTCACTGAAAGCACATTCACAGTTTGGGGTACTTCTGGCTATTCTTTTATCAGAATCACTAATGATTACATTGATGTAATTCTGGCTTCTGAGAGGTTCCCATTCACTGTATTTGTCAGCAGAAGTAGGAACAAAGAAATAGTTAATAGCTCTCTGCAGGCTCTCTGTCACCTCATGCAGGTTGTAGGATGCAGCAAACCTCCTGAAGGCTGGTGACAAGGGCACGTAATTGACCTCCAGAACAAGTTTTTTTAAAAAATTATATTTATTTATTGAGACAGGGTCTCACTCTGTCACCCAGGGTAGAGTGCAGTGGCATGATCTCGGCTCACTGCAACCTTCGCCTCCCCAGGTCAAGCGATTCTCATGCCTCAGCCTCCTGAGTAGCTGGGATTACAGGCGTGCACGACCACGCCTGGCTAATTTTTGTATTTTTAGTAGAGACAGGGTTTTAACCATGTTGGCTAGGCTGGTCTTGAACTCCTGACCTCACCTGATCCACTGCCTCAGCCTCCCAAAGTGCTGGGATTACAGGCTTGAGCCACCGAGCCCAACCCAAACAATTTATATTTTTTCTGGTTTTTTTCTATGCATCATAGCCTGCTGCTTCCTGGAAGCTTAGGATCTACCCTTTGTGCAGTGGGTCACAATCCCGCCTGCACATTTTAATCACCCAGGCAGCTTTTAAAGTATACCAGTGCTTGGGCCTCACCTCAGACTAAGAGAATTGGTATCTCCGAGGGCTGTGGCTGCACTAGAATGCCAGACAGACCATCATCCTGATGGCTTTGTGATTGAAAGAACAACACCCTAGGAAATGGGCATTATTTGTTGTAACTTTAGTTCTGCTGTGTATGAGCCATGCAACGGTAGACAAGCTCAATAGAGTGGACTGGTTAATATGATTCCCAGAATCCAATCAACCCGGTGTGCATCCTGGCTCTGCCACTTACAAGCTGCATGACCTTGGGCACGTTATTTAACCTCTTCCGAACTGTGAGCATTAATAACACTATCTACTCGTTGAAGTTTTGAAAGGATTTAATGGGAAAATGTACGTGAAGTACTACAGTGCCTGAGTAAACACTAAATGTTAAAAATGTCTTAATAATTGTTGCTCATTTACTTAATGTCTCTATCCTCCATTATTTTCACCTGGAAATGAGAATAATAATAAAACCTACCTCATAGGGTGGTTCCAAAAATTAAAGGAAATGAAAGATTCCCAGCATTATACCTATAGCCCATACTGCAGCATAGTAAACACTCAAAAGGTTGTAGTTGTGATTGCTAATTAGTATATGAAAAGCAGCAAAACAAGGCCGGGCGCGGTGGCTCACGCCTGTAATCCCAGCACTTTGGAAGGCCAAGGCGGGCGGATCACGAGGTCAGGAGAGCGAGACCATCCTAGCTAACATGGTGAAACCCCGTCTCTACTAAAAATACAAACAAATTAACCAGGCGTGGTGGCGGGCGCCTGCAGTCCCAGCTACTCGGGAGGCTGAGGCAGGAGAATGGCGTGAACCCAGGAGGCGGAGGTTGCAGTGAGCCGAGATTCTGCCAGTGCACTCCAGCCTGGGCGAAAGACCAAAACTCCGTCTAAAAAGAAAAAAAAAATTTTAGAAAGAAAAGCAGCAAAACAATACCCGTCTGGTCTACACCACCGTGGTGTTGTGATGTGACAGGCGGCGAATCCATACGGGTCTGCAGCAACCTCAGTCCTTGCCTCCTCGGAAGAAAGAATTCGACGGAGGGGCATAAGGCAGAGAGAGAGACCTCGGCAAGTTTCAGAGCAGGAGTGAAAGTTTATAAACACACTTTAGAGCAGGAACAAAAGGAAGTGAAGTACACTTGGAAGAGAGCCAAGCAGGCAGCTTGAGAGAATGCGTGCAGCTGGACCTTTGACCTGGGGTTGATAGGTTGGAGTACTTCCAGGGGGTTGCATCCCTTCTCCCCTGATTCTTCCTTTGGGGTAGGCTGTCCACATGCGCTGTGATCTGCCAACCCTTGGGAGGGGCCACAGGCGCAGTGTGTTTGCGCAGCTTTGCACATGCTCTCTTGAGGCGTTCTTCTCTTACCGAATGTTCCTAGAGGAAGATTATATACAAATTAAACTCTGCCATTTTTCTGGTACTATGCGTGCTTGAGCCCACTCGCCCAAGATCTGATCGAGAAGCTGCTGATCACCAGTTGCAGGTTTTTTTCTATCTATTGGGAGATTGCCTTTCCCTGGCGCTGGCTGTGACCAATTATTATTCTAGAAAGACAGTTTAATAACCTGCTGACCATCTCCTGATGGTTGCCTGACGCCCTTGGTGGTGAGGGGCTGTCTCCTGGCCTGTTCACGTCTGCCTCACCACCTACTCTAAGAGTAATACTCAAATTAGTTCTTGGAAGTGAAAAGCACTGCTGTTTAAAAAAACGTAAGTTATGTGTGTACGTATATAATTTATTTCTAATACAGATGTAGACATGTATTATGAGGTTCACTTTGCCAATCCCTTTCTATGGTAGGTTGAATGTTTCCCCAAAGGTTCACATCCTAATTCCCAGAACCTGAGTGTACCTCACTTTATATAGTAAAGGAAACTTTTCAGGTGTGGTAAAGGAGATGGTGAGATTACTCTGGATTATCTGGGTGAATCCAATATAATCATAGGGGTCACTGTAGGAAGGAGACAGTGTGGTCAGAGTAAGTAGTAGTAGACGTGATGATGGAGCACAAAGTTGAATTGGAGGCCGGGCGCGGTGGCTCAAGCCTGTAATTCCAGCACTTTGGGAGGCCGAGACGGGCGGATCACGAGGTCAGGAGATCGAGACCATCCTGGCTAACACGGTGAAACCCCGTCTCTACCAAAAAATACAAAAAACTAGCCGGGTGAAGTGGCGGCGCCTGTAGTCCCAGCTACTCGAGAGGCTGAGGCAGGAGAATGGCGTGAACCCGGGAGGCGGAGCTTGCAGTGAGCTGAGATCGGCCACTGCACTCCAGCCTGGGCGACAGAGCGAGACTCCGTCTAAAAAAAAAAAAAAAAAAGTTGAATTGGAATGAGGAAGGGGCTTTGAGCCAAGGAATACAAATGGCCTCTACAAGGTGAAAAAGGCCAAGAAATGAATTCTCCCTGAAACCTCCAGAAAGAACCAGCCCTGCCAACACTTTGATTTTAGCGAATCATTTAAGACTTCTGACATCTAGAACTATAAGAGAATAAATTTGTGTTCTTTTAAGCCACTAAGTTTGTGTACTTTGTTACAAACAGCAATAGGAAACGAATATATTTCCCTTGAAGTCAAGGAAAATGAGAAGTAAAAGTCAAGATGCTTGACCTGCTGACTGCTTTGGGGCACAATATGTTCATGACCTTTATTTACTGGTATTTATTTTTTTTCTGAAGTAGAGACATAAATTGATTGAATGGATTTTTAGTGTTTAATTCTTCCAAGAAAAGAGTTGCAAAATAAATTAAAAAGGAGTTTAAAATAAATTAAAAAGGAGTTTAATTTTAAGTAAATTAAAAATTTATTTAAAAATAAATTTAAAAAGAAAGAAAGGAGCTGCAAAATAAATATTTGTTGAAGACTTAGTCTATGCAAAATTTTGTGTAAAATACTATCTGGTAGAAATAAAATTGGACAGCAAATATTACACATTTTTATACAGTGGGAATTTGAATAGATATAACCTGATTATCTCAACACAAGGTCAAAAATACAAATCAATATTGTTTCCTGGTACCTAACAATATAGTTATTTAAGAGTATCAAAATCATCAAAAACATGTTTTTTTAAATTATTCATGGTAATAAAGGAGACCTATGTCGATAGTAGGGATTTATCTGGCTGTTTTGACTTTGTTACTATGTAGGTATGGTTGCCAGATTTAGTAAATAAAAACACAGAGCACACAGTTACATTTGAATTTCAAAAAAAACCATATAATTTTATATATAAGTATGCATATATTTGCAGAATATTTATACTAAGGAAAAATAGTAGTTTATCTGAAGTTCAAATTTAATGGGGCCTCTTATATTTTATCTGGCAACTCTAGCTATATAGCTATTGGTAAAACCAGTTAATATACAAGCAATCTCTATTTATTTACTTTAGCACATTTATGAAAATCACATCAGAAGAGAGAACTGTAAAATAAAGATCACTTTAATCCCACTAAACATAAGCTTCTGCTTAACCAGAAATGACCATTTATATTATCAGATACCACTGTACATTTGGTCAATTAAAATGCAAATTGAGGCTATTTTTCCTGATGAACATACTTCAGAGATGGATAAAACTCATGAATAATGGATTAATGGTGAAAAATGATATATGGGTTTTAATGACACTGTTACATAAGTAAATCAGTGAAATCTGAAGCAGGAAAAGGAATTAATGGTTGTATAATTATAAGATGCTCCATGGATTATAAAACAGCAAGGCATCTCCTGAGGGGAATTTGGCACACAGCGTCATTTCTAGGAAGTATTGGGGCACACATAACCACATTATATGCTTCCTTCTCTTCCTAACCATCCATTTTATACAGCTGAAATCTAGTTAAATAAATTTCCAAGGCTCTCTGGGGAAAAAAGAAAGGTCACAAAAAGGCAAAGGAAGAATAGCCTCCTCATTTCCTTTAGAAATTTGGGGAAGAGAGTGTAGAGTGAGGGTATTGCTGTCCAGTGTAGCAATAACCAATAGGGAGAGGAAGAGAAAAAAATCAAATAAACCTCTTTATTTTCTCTTGCATTTCTCCAACAACGAGCCCCTCTAAGACAAATGACTGATGCCATCTATGGTCTAGAGATGACCTCAAACATGAAATCAAGAAACTGTAAAGTATGACCAGCTGTAATCTTTAACAGATGTCAGGGTTCCGGTAGTTGTAGATTTTAGGGAGCAAGAGACCAGTCAATTGGTAATTTGCAAATAATAGATGTATCTTGACCATCAACAATGTTCAAAAGAATTATTCCAAGATGTTTCAAAGCATCAATTCATAAAATGCACTTGTTTTCATGTGCTTTTTGATGTTCTTTCCTAACCTTCTCCCCTGTCACCCTCAGCACCCTGGACACAGCAAGCACATGTCAGGCCCGAGTCATAGCCCTTTCTCGGGAGAGTGCTTTTTAAAAACCCAACCATGCTTCCTACTACTTACCAATTCACCATCACTAGTACTGAGAATCTAGAGGTAGTCCTCATTCGCATTTTTAAAAATTCTTCTTCTCCATAAAAATACAATTTTGCTCAGGTCTGTGGCTCTATGAAACAGAGGTCAAGTGAATTAAATGAAAGTTTTGCTCTTAATAAATACATTTCAATGTAACAAACTGTCTTATAATTTTGATATATTGATCATCAATTCTCAAGTTTGAGAGATAATCATACTTAAATTATCTCAGATTGATGAAAATAAAATGTGCTTTTCATTCACAGAGGAAACATAAAAGATTAGTGATTTGAAGGAAGGCCAAAGCAGAGAAAAAGCAAAACCCTACAAGTGGTTAAGAGTTTAACAAAACTATGAGTGGCGGCAGTGTGATTACAGTTTCTCATACTTGGTTCTAAAGCTAAAACGAATGTAAAATCATATAATAGATGCCACATTACTGATATTTTTCCTTAATGAGGCCATCTTTTTTACTGTCAAAAATAATGTTGAATTAAAAGCTTGAAATTGTTTTTACTTAAACTACTATGAGAGTAGTTTCTTTGACATAATCATTTGAGAGGAGGGTGTCTAAGGAGCAAAGAAGTAAGGGTAAGGTTAATATACTATTACTTAAGAGAAGACCAGAAGCCATAAAGACTTCCCAATGCTTCTCTTAGAACTGATATTTTATGCAAACATTTATAGATTTTGTGGTTGTTCTAATTTATTTATTTATTTATTTATTTATTTTTATTTTTATTTTTTTTTTTGAGACGGAGTCTCGCTCTGTCACGTAGGCTGGAGTGCAGTGGCCGGATCTCAGCTCACTGCAAGCTCCGCCTCCCGGGTTCACGCCATTCTCCTGCCTCAGCCTCCCAAGTAGCGGGGACTACAGGCGCCCGTCACCTCGCCCGGCTAGTTTTTTGTATTTTTTAGCAGAGAAGGGGTTTCACCGTGTTAGCCAGGATGGTCTCGATCTCCTGACCTCGTGATCCGCCCGTCTCGGCCTCCCAAAGTGCTGGGATTACAGGCTTGAGCCACCGCGCCCGGCCAGTTGTTCTACTTTAACAAATTCTATCAAAAAGTATTTGCTCAGCCAAGTGTGGTGGCTCATGCCTGTAATCCCAGCACTTTGGGAGGCCAAGGCAGGTGGATCACGAGGTCAGGAGTTGAAGACCAGCCTGGCCAACATGGTGAAACCCTGTCTCTACCAAAAATACAAAAATTAGCCACGCGTGGTGGTGCACAACTGTAATCCCAAGCTACTTGGGAGGCTGAGGCAGGAGAATTGCTTGAACCCAGGAGGTGAAGGTTGCAGTGAGCCAAGATCGCACCACTGCACTCAAGCCTGGGCAACAGAGCACGACTTCATCTCAAAAAAATAATAACATTAAAAAATTTTAAAAGTATTTGCTCGCTTTTTCACAGCAATGCTGTTCCCCAGAATACCGTTCTCACCATTATAAGTCATTTTATTATCTTAGGTTACACATAAATAAATCATTTCTTTGCTTCATTGTCTTCCATTACAATTCCCTGAAGTTCATTATCCAATGAAGCGGTGCTATATTTTTTAATACCAGGCATTTTAATGTTGAGTTGTCAGTAATTAGTCTATTGTTTTCCCAGTGAACAAATCTGGATATATATCTCATACAAAATTTACACAGATATTTCAAGTAGGATTAGACCACAAAAATTGCATTTAACCTGAAAATGTCATTATTACTAATATCCCTTTCCCAACCCTCTCATTCACTTTTTAATGATATCTTAATTAATTTTTCAACTATTTATTGCTAAATCTTTAAAACTTAATTTTAAAAGAGAACAGTATTGTGAGCACCCCCATTGCACACACTAGGATATTTTACCTTGATTTTAGTAAGCATCTCCTAAGAAAAGGATATTCTTCTGTATAATGATGATACCATTATCATACCTAGGAAAATAAGCAATAATTCCCTATTATCATCTAATGCTCAATCTATTTTCAGATTTCCTTAATTTTCTGCAAAATTTTTTCATCGCCGGTTTTATTTTAGTTCTTTTAAAATTTCATGTAATATTCGTGCTAAGTGAAAATTCTGAGCCAATCTTTTATGTGAATATATAAATATATATCCTATTTTGTTTATGTATAAAGACTTGATTAGATCCAACTAAGACACTGCTGGCCATTTTATAGGTTATGTGTCTACATCATATTGCATCCCGTCAAGAGGCTGTAATGTTAGATTATTGACAATTATTTCATGTAAGACAGAGACCGCAAGATCATTCTATTGTGGGTACTTGTAAACTTTGTGATTAGCAAATATAGTGAGTCAGCTATAATTTAGCAGATGTGGTACTAAAAATCATCAGGTATGAAAAATTGCAAAATAAAAACCACAGGGTTTATGGGGAAAATCAGGTTAAAGATACAACACACAAAAGCTTCATCAATGACACATTTTTTTAAAAAGCAGGAGCCCAGTAAAAATGACAGTACAGTTTTACACATGTAAAATGGTAAAGAAATGCATGTAAACTATATGAATAGGGCACTTTGCCCTGAAAAGACCTGAAGTTTGCATGTAGAAGCAGGTGACAGGATGACTCTTCTGGATTAAATCAGGTATAAGCAAGTGCAAAATCTGCATTGTGTTCAAATTGTTCCCTAATATATTTATATAGAAGTAAACTGTGGTTTTAAAACAAGCTGTAGAAGAACATAATCTGTGGGTTAATACTTTGACACCCTATGTATATCCTATTTCTCACCACCCTTTCTCTTACTGGTTTTTAGCATCCGTTGATTATCCCCGTCCGAGTCAATTACTGCAGTAGCAGTTGCAAAATGGTGACTTTCTAATTCCATCAATCCTTCTACATTTATAAGCTGACACTGGTCTGCAGACAGTCTTTCCTCTTCCGTATGGGGGATGATCTCAGTATTACCCTTTGTACTAGGCACAAGTCTAGTCCTTCTTTTGGGGGTTGTCCTTCGAATGTTTTAAAGTCATGATTTTGTACTCCCTCAGTCTTCTTGCCTCCCAATTTCTTTAACTGTTTCTCATAACACATGCTGTAAAATCATTTCACTGTCCTGATCACTTTATTTTGAGTAACCTCCGATAGCACCTAGACAATAAAATTTGTCAGATGAGATTTGATGGAAAGGATGGAGAAAACTGCCTTTCTCACCCTGGACATTACCCTTCTTGTCTTGCAGCTCAAGGGCAGCGTAGCTTTGCTAAGAGTCACGTCTTGCTGTTGACTCATATTTTCACTATGATTGCTGAGCTGCATTTCCTTCAATTTCACTTGTTCATTTTTTTTTAAGACCAAATATCACGAACTTACTGTGTTAAATCTCATCTTAGTAAATTCAACCCAATTGTGCAGATCTTTCTGTTAGTCAGTTTTCTACGCTGGCTATAAATCTACAGAGCTTCATATTGTCATCTAAGTCATTAATAAATTTGATCAGCAAAGGGCCAAGGACAGAGCTTGCCCTTGATTAGGGTCATTTTGACATGTCCTGATTACAATCATTCACCCAGGGCTCAGTCTATCACACTGTTCTTGCCTCCAGCTAACATTTCTTCCTTTAATCCTTAAAGATATCATATGAGAGACTTTGTCAAATGCTTTGCTGAAGTTCAAATACCCTGAGTCTACACTTTGCCTCTTAATTACCCCTTTAGTCACACTGGCTAGTGTGGCGTCACATGGTTTTGGTGAAGCCATCCCATAGCCTTGTGATCCTGGCTTCACTTTCAAGGAGCCCACAAACTGCTGAGTATCAACCAACTCATTCATCAAGGCAACAAAAGCAACTGTTTTCAAGAAGTGAAAATGAAATATGTTTAGGAAGAATTACCTTAAAATTTGAATAAACTATGAATTTATAATGCTTGCTTATTTAAAATTTTTTAAATTTCGACTGTGCTTTGACCATGGATGAATGTTACAGAATTATGAAAATATAATAAATGGCAGTATGCCTACTTGATTCCAAAAGAAGATCTTTCCTTTAAGTTTTTGATGCACTGTCTTAATTTTTTAATATATTTTGAACAAATTCCCAGTATTGTAAAGGATTTACAGTTTTTTTCAAAGGATAAAGTGTTGAAGTCAGTTTTATTCTCCAAACCTGCTTTTAAAATTTTTACATCATTAGTTTGTAACACCACCTACGAAGCCTCATTAAATAACATTCCAACATTACTAACGTTATGTGATGTGTGATAGGTCTATAAATATACCTAAACAGAGAAAGGAGAAATCAGTTAACAGAGTTCAACCAAAGGGATCAATCAGTAATTTTATGGCAGACGATCCTGAAAATGGATTGATCTGTGTTAAAATTCTAGCATTGAGGTTATGAGAGAAATTCATGCAGTTGAATCTATGTAGCATTATTTCATAAAACTAAAATACGAGTGAGAAAAAGTGTGATGACTATTTTTGTATAAACGTAGAACTCTAAAGAAGTGTTTTTGGCAATACATTTTACTAGACCTACGACAAGACTATCTTTGCCTTTGAATTTATGTAGGAAAATCAGTCTGTAGCACAATTCTCAGATTTCTCTGGTGAGTTAATGCTGCTGAAACCCAACAGAAGTTTTGTGATTAAAATTTTAGAGACATGTGTATGTCCTCATTCTGATGCAGTTCAGTGTTTGTTCTGTTTATTTTAAGATGTTAAGACAGTTAAAGAGCTAACACCCATGCTTAAGGATCTTGAGACATAATGTGACTATGTAAATCACATAGTAGTGTAATATATCATATATATAAAATACATAATCCTTTAATAGTAGAATGTCAGGCATCTAATCCAAGAAAAAGAATATGCTTAGTATTATCACAAAATGTAGAAGCATAATTTCAATGTTACAAAGTAGAAAACATTGAAATCAACTTACATCAATTCAAGAACTAATAGCCTCAACCCTATTTAAAAGAGGATAATTTAATCACTTTGTTTCCTCGAGAGGAAATGAGCACTTTACCTTTTATTTATTTCATGAAATTCCATGAGGGATTCAGAATCTAAATATTACTTGGTAATTTTCATCTTATGTTGAAATATCAATCTTTTTTCTAAAATGTCCAA